GAAGAAAAAGGCTTTCTACCAAATAATTGGAAAAGCAAACAATTCCAACAAAATTTTCTCACAAAATGTACTAATTTTAACAACTTTCCCAAACAATTCTCCAGCTAAAATCATCCTGGGAATGTTGGTCTCAAACCATAGATCGATGTCCTAAAAGAATCTAGAATGAGGAGCAAAAGTAAAAAGATATGCCAATACATGTTCTACTATCCTACCTAATAAAAAAAAAACATTATTTAACATATATGTTCAGGGAATCCAGCTATTCTCTTGACCAAACTGCCATGATCCCTTCTCAGGCAAGAATCAATACTCGAAGGCAGCAGAGGAGCCTGAGACTTGCCATAAGAATTCCAACACAGTGCCGGTTGAAAACCTCCGTATCGCATGGAGGGTTTCAGCTGAATATCAATGAGATCAACATCAGTGCATGGGATGTCACTGCTACAAGCTAGATGAACAGGTTGCGCCGAGTACGTCCCAATTATTTGATCATATTTAACTCCGGATATTGCCACTGCTCCTGTTTGATTCTTGCAGATGTTCTTGTCGCAGTAGAACTGGTCGATTATCATCGGAACCTTAACATCTGCTACTTGAATGTTCGAAAATGTCACGTTCTTGACGGATCCCATACCTCCCTACAAAAAGACACCAAAAAAATCAATTCTATAAAAGGAAAAAAATTGTTTAAAAAAATTAAGTGACCATTTTCTTTTTCTTTTTCTTTTTTTACGGACCAAATAAAATTAGATTGTTAAGAAATACAAGCGGTACTCCAAACTATTGTAAAATTAAAACTTGTAACTATTATAATAAAAACAAACCAGTAACAAGCATCTACTATTTAAGTATCTGCCACTTTCTGCAGTTACCATTTGCTTGTTGTTAATTGTAGTTTACCTGCCATGTTTTGATTCTAACTCCAGCAAGTGTATTCTGAAGGGAGATTTCCTCCACAATGATATCAGACACACATCCAATGCTCTTATCTTTGCCAAGTCCTCCTATACTGTAGTATATATGTATACAAGAAAAATGCATAATTAATACCATGTATACTAATTAAGAGAACATATTAAATTAATTAATTACAGGAAGTTTTACATTAATAAGGCATTAGTCTGGTACTGAGGAAAACATATAATTCAAGTTTATAAAAAATTAACGGATACTGTATTAAATAAGATTTATCCTCTACTTTTAGTGCACATAATAAAAAAATCAAATCTATTTAATTAATTGATTATTTACCTTATACCATGACCAGGACCACAATCAATATGATGGATATGAATATTGGAGCAACCAGTTTGGATGGACACACAGTCATCCCCTGCCAACAAAGAGAACACAACAATATTATAAATACAACTTTTGCCTAACAGGACCTAATAATAGGGCACAATACCTAATTAATTACAGCCCCACAGGTCACGGAGTCCTGAGGACACCCTACAGAAAAAAGTGGTCAGTTTTAGTGAGTGTATACTTTTTGCTCATGCCTGTTTTTAAAAGCTAGTTTAGTGACAGTTATACCGTTTAAAGTGTACTCTCTAATGAGTCTAATCCAATCATATTCCTTCAAAACAGACCTTTTTCTGCATTTTAATGTGCTATGCACTATCTTGAATTCTGGGACCCTGAAATTATAGCTTTTTTTTTCTTTTTTTTTTGGTTTAAGTATAGTCAAGTTTTCTCGAGTTAATTTCACAAAACTAATCTTACTCATAACTATATTAAGGGTGCACATCTCGCATTGGTCTCGTTACTATATATGAGAAAATTAAATATCTTGGTTCTTACCGCACCCAATATTGGAGTACTTAATTTCAACATCCTGCGTGTTTTGCAGGTGAATTCCGTCAGTATTTGGGCTGCTCTCAGGAGATGAGATTGTAACGTTGTCCACTTTGATCCCGCTGGAACTGTCAAATTTCAGATGGCATTGAGGACTGTTTGTGATTTCGATGTCCCGAACTGTGACGTTGTAGCTTGCATAGAATCTTATGGCCTGTAAGAATGCAAAATCCAAAGCATAAATTAACATATCATTGTTGCATGAGTATCAAGAATTAATAAAAGAGTTACGTTAAAATAACTTGATCTTAACTCAAAAATTGAATAATCTGTAATAACTAAGTATTAACTTCTTTATTGACAAAAATTTGAATCTATCTGTTAAATTAGAAAGGAGAGGAGCTCTTACAGTTGGTTTCATATTGGAAATGTGTTTGAATTTCTTAGAATTGGCTTTCCACCATGAAGAGCCTTGACCATCAACAGCTCCATTGCCTTGAATGGTGAAATTATGCACCCACTTGAAATTAATCCATTGAAACAAACTGTACTTCGTCCATGAGCTTATTTTTGGGGGGGCCAAAAGAGTTCCATCAATCTGCATTTAGGAAATTCCCCACTCACCAAACATTAGGGGCTTTTTGTGTGTGGAGAGAGCATTTTAACCGTACCAAATTATGTGATACTAAAAAATGACAAAAAGAATATACCTCTGCTCTTCCCATTTCTTTATGGGGAAACTTCTTTTTGAAAGTTAGTGAAAGGCAAAAGCTGAAAACGAAGACAAAGTACTGTACCTGAAATGAAAGGTTAGGCATGCATGGACCTTGAAAAGTTATGGGCTTCACCAGGAACTTTAATTCTGCTGGGATTTCCACTGTTGCACCAGGCACATTACAGGCTGCTTTCCATGCTGCTAGAAATGCCTGTGTGTTGACGTTCTCAGAACCTTAGGATATACTATGAGCACTAGCAAGAAAATTGTTTTTCTTTTTCTTTTTCTTTTTTTGAATAACAAGAAAAATCATCTTCATCGCCCACTTGGAGCTTAGAAGTTAAATTTCAAGCAAAAGACTGGATTTACAGCCATTATATCAAGCAAGGCACGGTTGTTATCTTAAAAAAAAATTTGTTTTTTTGGTTAATTGCATTTGATTTACCTTGGAATCATCTGCACCTCCATCTCCCTTTGCTCCAAATGACAAAACATTGAAAATTCCTGAACTATTTGGATGAAAACCATAGCTGGGAAGAGGAGCTGGTCCAGGGGCTGGAGAATTGGCTGCGCCATTGCTCTTTTGATGCTTATGAGACTTCCCCTTCTTCCGATGATGGTGATGCTTTCGCGCATCGATTACTTGCATAGAGAATGTGAGGAAGAAAATAACCGTGAAAACCACAAAAGCTAGAAGAGGGAAATGCCTTTTTCCCTTCATTCCTTTCCCTAGCAAGTGAGAACAGTTTCAACTTGAACCCCTACTTGAAACAGAGGATGAGGTAGTTAGAGACCGTTTATATAATGCTAGTTTTACATAAATAACCGTCTTGTAGTTCTAATTTTCATTGATACCCTTACTCTTTTAGTACTTCTCTATTATTTTTAGTAAACTTAATTTGATTTTCCTTAATTTGTGAACATGAATTTTAGATAAAAATTTAGTAACTCATATGGACAACAATTAAAATTCTTTTTTCCCATATGTAATTTTTATTAAGTATCTTTATTTGATAAAAAAAGTTTTAATTATCATTTATATATGTTAAATTTTTTTCTAAAATTCATATTTAAAAAGTAAAAAATAATCGAGCTAAATCTACTAAAAATGAATAGATTAAGTACAATTTAACATTAAAAAAAAAAAACCAAAATATGTGTATTCAATTGTTAGTTTTAAAAAAATGATATCGCTCTTATTTTTTAAATCCCTCAGCTACAAATCTTATGTTCAAATATTAGTTTTCAAATCCCTATTTTGTGTCTCATATTTAATGTTGAGAGGGAAAATCTGACTCCTAATTAACCACTATATATTAACTTGAGTTCGAATCTTGAGGGCAATATGAATATTTTGTACCTAAAGAATTGTTCGGGCCGTTAATTTTAACATCAAAGACCAAATTTGTTAAACATTCTCATTTTAGGTGGGCATGACATAAATAGACGTGGCAAACAAGTCGGATTTGATGGATTTGGATTCGGTCATCTTGGATCTCGGGTTATTCGAATTTAATCATTTTGGGTATCGAATTAAGTAGGTTGACGTATGACTCACTCACACAGAACTCGGATTGGATCGGTGGACCCATCTTTTAAAAAATTAAAATGAAAATTAGAATTTTTTTATATTTCTCTCTATTTTTCTTTAACAAAATCTAATACTAATTAACTATTTAGTTAAAAAAACTTTATTATTAATTAGCTATTTAGTTAGAAAACTTATTAAACATTAATTTCCATTTCATAATTCAATTTTTTTCCAATCTCAAGAAAGAAAAGGAAAAAATTAGTAATTATATAGGTGAAACTAAAATATATGTCAAATATATAATATTTATATAATATTAGAATTCATAATTTCATAAAAGTATTAACGTTCATTACAAGAAGAGATATGAAGGATTAGAGTTCAAAAGACAAATCCAATATATATATATATATATATTAATATGTAGTGCCTAACTGCCTATAAGAGTATTATATAAAAAATACAACTCTATTCAATATTGAGGAGGATATTATACAAAAAAATATAGCCTTATTTATTATTAAAGTTTAAAAGGTAAATCCAAAATATGTTTAACCAAATACAAGAAGAAATTGGATCGGAATTGATTTTTATTAATTAGGAACAAATAATTAATTAAAAACAAATTAGCAACTAAGGACAAATTAACAACTAAGAAGGGACTTTGATGTTTTTGATGTTCTTATCTTTGTACTTCTAATAGTTATGAGGGTATCTTAATCATTGGATTTTGATTTTCAGTAGGCATTCTTACTTTTTATTTTTTTTAAATGT